ATTATTTTTATAAAGTTTTATATGTTATAGAAAGTTGATAATTTATTATTATTAATGTTCGATATTGAAAATATAATTCATACTAGAATAAAATTATAATTTATAATTTATAAATAAATATCTCATTAATGATATTGATGACTATCATGCTTATTATATTTAATCAAACATATTATAATCATATGTGTATATATATTTATTTTAATAATAAGAATTCTCAACTTTCTATAACATATAAAACTTTATAGAAATACTTAAGAAAAGTATGAACAATTATAATTCGTTATGCTTATTATTTTCTATTAACTAGAACAAGAAAAAAAAATCATATTCAATTAATTTTAATTTTTGTTTCCTCTCATATATTTAAGATTCATGTTTACTTGTTAATAATTTATTAAATCTTCTATTTAAATAAATTTTATCATTTAATTAGATAACCAAAAAAAATTCAACAATACAATAAATAATCTGCTAGAATTTGTTCAATTATTTCGAGTTGATTAGTAAAGTTAAATGATTATAAAAATATCTAACTTCATTAAAATCTAATTAATATGAATTAAAATTAATTGAATAAGTAAATCAATTACAATATAAATAGACAATATATTTGATGTATGATATGAATTAAATAAAAGATAATTATCGATTGTCACGAATAGTTATTATTATATGAATATAAATTAAAGAATTATTTAATTATACTTATTAATGAAATATTTAAAGATTTTTTTTATCAAGAGACAATTATTAATTGATTTCTAGTTAATCATAATTTAATAAAAACTAAATAAAAAGAATTTTCTTTTTTAAAATAAATGTTTTCATAAGAGAAAAATTAATTTTCAAACGTTTTTTTTTACTATTTTCTATCCTATAAAATACAATTTTTGTAATAATATATATCTTTCAGATTTGTGATATCAATCAACTACGTTTAATATTTGGATTTCAACAAAGAATTATATGAAAAGATCTGATACTTTCACAACAAATTTCTCTAGTTAAAATCATCGATATTTGAGATTGTTTAAAGAATAATAATTGAAATATTCTTCAAAATAAATATTTACTATTTAAAATAAGTTATCTCTTTTTTTTTTATATTAAATATTGATTAGATATTTTTTTTATAATTCTTATGTATAAATAATACTTAAAACTAATTTCATAGACAATAATCTTGTTGAAAATAAATCGTGGATAACAATCAATCATTAGATTAATTTAACAAAATTTTTCTTAACTTAATATGATAAATATATTAATTCGAATTATTTCATCATTGATGGATTATTTACAAAAGTAACTAATTGAGTACGATCAACTTTTTTTATCAGGTTGATTTCCTTTGTGAAAACTGGAATATCAACTGAAGTAAATTAAGTTTTATCGAAAAAGATGATGATTGTGAATATTTTTGCAATAATTGAAGCACAGTAATAAAATAGTTAAATTTTCGAATAACTTTTATAATTTGTGATACTTTCAAAAGATTTTTTCATTTGTTGACATTTTATTTAATCTTAACATAAAAAAGAAATCTAAATAAATATATATTTTTTCGTTTAACTTGAAAAGATTAAATTATTAAGATCATTTTATATAAATGAATGTTTAAACGAAGTTCATCATATTGACTAAAAAACGAATGATTGAACTTTTGTTGATCTTAAAACTATTAGAAGAAAATAAATATCTTATTGATATCTAACTTATATTAAAGATAAAAATAACAAACAATTTCTATTTTCAATTTATGTTTAAGCTAAACGATTAAATATTAATATTAATAACAAATTATATTTTATCCTTTAAAATTATTAGAAAAGTTATTTATTATTGTTAATCAATAATTAATTTCATATATAAATTAACATTATTAAAATAAATTTTGCTCAAAAAACGTAAGAATAAAATCGATTTATGTATTTAAATGCAAAAACAAAAACTAGCTATTTAACATCTCTATAAAGTACATACTTACTAAAATTTGAAGGATTTCCTTGACGAACATAAATATGAAGTAATGACATAATCAGTATCGTGGATCTTCGCTTGAGAGCAGAGATCTCAATTCAAAAACTTCTGGACAGTGAAATTGAACTCAAAGAATGAGTTTCTATGAAACAAAAAAAATTCTCATTTTTCTGAGTCCAACCAGAAAATATTTCATGTTTTTAATCATATATTATTTTGAAGAATGTCCTTGTAACCTACATCTAATTTCATCCATTCAGAAGTTCTGGTGTTGAGTAAGTTCAGAATGTTTAGAAAAAATTGTCTCAGAAATTCCAAATACCATAACTATTGAATGGATAAATATTTTTAAATGAAATTTGATGTAGCTCATGAAAACATTCTTCAAAATGAGATCTAATTAAAAACATGAAGTATTTTCTGGTCGGACTCAGAAAATTTTTAAATGTCTTCTTTTTTCATAAAAACTCATCATTTGAATCCAATATCAATGTTTAGAAGTTTTCAATTTGGATTCATTCTATTAACCGGAGATTCATGATACTGATAAATACTGGTTACACCAATAATATCAGGTTAATGTTATTTTAGTTGTTGTTTTTTATTCAATATAAATTAATATTCAAAAATCAATATCATTTATAAATTGAACTAGAATAATCTATTATATATATACACACAAACAAATTCTTCTTATTATAAACTTGTTTTATTTAACTTATAAAGTATATAGGAAATTGTATCATGTTTAATAGAACCTTTCAATAATAAAATTTCTATGATTATAAATGCATAACTTTTAATTAATAATGTTCCTTACATATTTAATGAAACATATACAGTAGCGGATAAAAGTCTCCATCCATCTATAACTTTATCAGATGCTTTGATAAACTGGCAATTGTTTCACTGCTAAGCAGCTCACATTAAACCCTGATTATGAGCGTCATTTAAATTTCAACAACTTGAAAAACTCAACTTATTCCTATTATTGAATTTCATGAATGTATAGAATCACTATTTTCTTTTCGTCTTCTCAAGACCAGAACTTCAGCATCGATTGTTGGATTTTTTTCGCGGTTGTATACCTAGGGAGAAGAAACGATTCTACAAATTTCGATATATGATTCAAAAAGTAAGCTGTTCAGATAGATCTACGGTAATCTATAATCGGTGACCTATAGCATGAGCAGTATTTGCGCATCGTATATTCCAAATGAGTACCGGCTTATCTTAACATATAAATTTCTGAATCATATATAAAAAGATGTAGGCTTGTCTTTGCTTCTCACAAACACGACCATAAGGAAAATCCAACGATGAAAGGCGACACTCTGCTCTTCAAAAAACAAAAAGTCAAACATCACATTTTTTGAAAATCGGCACCATATATCATCAATAATTGAAATTCTTACGTTATTGAGAGTCAGGCTAAGTTTTGGCTGTGCTGTTGATCAGGGTAGGGTGTATGAATATATGCAATGAAACAATTACCAATTTTTAAGAGCATTTGACAAAGTTATAAAAGGAGGGGAAATATTAGAGTCCTGCAGGGTAACCCTACCCTACCCTACCCTACCCTACCCTACCCTACCCTACCCTATTAGGGTAGGGTAGGGTTAGGGTAAGAAAACGTTAGGGTAGGGTAGGGTTAGGGTAAGAAAACGTTAGGGTAGGGTAGGGCTAGGGTAAGAAAGCGTAGGGTAGGGTAGGGTGAGGGTAACAAACTTTAAAGTAGAATATGGTAAAGGCGGTGAAACAACTATTTAAAATAGAACTAGAATGCCATTTATGATACTAAGATTTTTCGGTCAACTAATTTTTATGACACTTGTGACATCTATATGATTTAAAAGACTAAACAGCTAGCTCATTAAAATGTATATTGATTGGATGGAACAACGATAAGTGAGTGGACAATGGTCATTGCTTATTTATTGTTTTCACGTTATACCTAACATAAAGAAAGAAATTGGCTAAATTTTAATTGTTTTGTTGAATAACATTCGAGATATGTAATACAAAATGTCCACTAAATCATCTCGAAAAGATTTGGATGAAAAGAAGAAACGAATATTGAATTTATTGAATGAAGGAAAGTTAATTACAACAGAACAAGCCCCATCCTCGTCGAATGGTGAATTTTGGTCCAGTCTCTTAAGAATACGACAAGCAAATGATACACATGCATTTAAACCTTTTGTTCAATGTAATATATGCAAACAAATCTTATCATATGAGCCGAAAAACGGCACACATAGTCTTAGTCAACATGTTCACAATTGTTTAAAAAAACCAACAAGTTCAAAAACAACTAACTCTATTCAAAAATATTTGAAAAAAGATCCAAGTGTATCTCTTGAAGATAAACAAAAAATAACAATTGCTTGTGCTAAATTTTGTGCATTTGATATGCAATCATTTAATAGTGTGAAAGGTGATGGTTTTCAACAGCTATGCCAAAGTTTAATTGAACTTGGATACAAATTTGGTGAACTAAAAGCTGGTGTACCTTCTGCTACATTTGTTTTACCTGATCCTACAAATGTCTCAAGAAGAATCCAGTTTTTAGCAAATGAATATCGTCTTAAATTAATTCAAATATTGAAAGAAGATTTGAAAAACGTAAAACTTGTTGGTGTTTCATCTGATCTTTGGAAAAACTGTTATACGTCTGATAATTTTTTGACCATTAATCTTCATTATACCAAAGATAAAAGGCCAATTACATTTATGTTAAGCACGTTGTTATTTATTGGTTCAAAAACTGGTGATAATATTGTTCGAATGATGAAAAATGTTCTTATATCTTATGAAATTGATCCAGAAGAAATGCATATTATTTATTTAACAGATAGTGGTCCAAATTTTGTTTGTGGCTTGAAAGATGAAGTTCATTTAAGATGTGTATGTAAGTTAATGTAATAAATTTAATCTTAATATTTCTCGTTGTTTTAGGTCATGGAATAAATCTTGTACTACAATATTCTCTCGGTGAATTATGTCCAGCTGTTAGTTCTATGATAAAGGCATGTAGTGAACTGGTGGTGCATTTCAAAAGATGTGAATTAAATGCTTCACTCTCAACATCACTTAAACAGCAATGTGAAACACGTTGGAATACTATCCATGAAATGTTACAGTCAATAGAGTTCAATTTCAAACCAGTAAAAGAGATATTATTTAGTCGAAAAGAACATGATTTTTATATGGATAGAATTGATGAAGGTTTACTAACAGATTTAACGAAATTATTATCGTATTTCAAAATAGCTAGTGAACAATTGTCGTCGGATCAAGAACCAACATTACATCTGGTTCTGCCATGGATAAACAAGTTAAAAAGTTACTGTGAAATAAAAATTAATGATTCAGAAGTAATGAAACAAGTGAAGAAATTGATATTAGAACATATACAACAAAAGATTTGGTTAACTCAATTACACGAAATTGCCACATTTCTTCATCCATTGACGAAGAATCTTTCGGTATGTTGCGAACTCATCCAAGAGAACTCTTATCCAAATTAGGTTTCCTTGAAAAAAAGTAAATTAAATTATTTTTAGGTTTCATCGGAAGATAATATTATGAAAAATTTTTCATGCATTGCATTTTCTTTGCTTCGAATACACATTAAACTCAAAATCTGAATCCAAATATTAAATATCTTTTATCTTGAAAAGAAAGACTTACATATGCCAATAACTGAATATCATCTTAGTTCCCTATAGAATATAGTCATCAAATACCCTAATTAAATTTTTAATGTCTAATATGAGATCAAGAAATTGATGCGGCTATTGGTTGAAAAATAAAAGCTGAAATATTTGTTTTTTTGTTGTAGTCGTTCAGTCAATCTGAACGAGATCAAGTCCATCAATCAACACGAGAAATGTTAAAAACTGTTGGCATTATTCAACCACAACAATCATCAACAATTATTATAAAAAAGACAACAGAAACTAAAGAAAAAAAAAGAAACGATATGAAATTTCACAAGATGATGTTTTAATGGAATTCGCAAATGAAGATTAACCTGCATCAGATGAAGATGATGAGTACGATGAAGTTTATAATTATGCTAAATCAAAGTTGACTTTTCCTAAAGAAGAATCAGTATTACAATGGTGGGATAAATGGTCATTGAATTATCCACAACTTAGTGTATTAGCAAAATGGTTGTTGGGAATACCGGCTAGTTCGGCTACCAGTGAACGCATTTTCAGCGCAAGTGGTAGAGTTTTGGAAGAAAGAAGGCAAAATTTAGGCAGTGATATAGTTAACGATATTTTATTTTTACGAAATTTTCGAAATATGTGATATATTTGTATTCGATTTTGATTATGTGATATATTTATATTTCATTGTGTTTATGGGATATATTTCTATTTCATTTTGTTTATCATTGAAAGTTAATAAACTATAATAAAATATAATGAAAAAAAGTTTCATCCTAACACCCTTAAAAAGATAAAAATTTAAGGATATAGTAGGAAGGGATAGGGTTAGGGTATTAAAGTCATAGGGTAGGGTAGGATTAGGGTGTTATGGTCATAGGGTAGGGTAGGGTTAGGGTGCAAAGTCGTAGGGTAGGGTAGGACTAGGGTGCGAAGTCGTAGGGTAGGGTAGGGGCTAGGGTGAAAAGTTGTAGGGTAGGGTAGGGCATAGGGCACGAAAATTGCTTTAGGGTAGGGTTAGGGTACGAAAAAACCTTACCCTGCAGGACTCTAGGAAATATTTTCTCCAGCATTTTCTGAATAATTGGATTTCTCGAACTAGTGAAAATCTGTCGAATATTAAATGGTGCTCATGATCAAGGTTTAATGTGAGCTTCTTAGCAGTGAAACAATTGCCAGTTCATCAAAGCATCTGATAATGTTATAGATGGGTGGAAACATTTGTCCGCTACTGTATAATACGTGCATTATTATTAGTATTATTATTAAGATATAATAGAAATGTAGAAAATAATTCATCTAATATATATAATTGAATATGTTTTAAAACAAAAGAAAATTTTTTTTTTTTATAAAATAATTAGAGACCATAAATATTTGAATCTAATATTGAATTGTCTTGAGAATCAGTTGATACATGTCAACATTGATTAATAAAATAATTTAATAATACGAATAGTTTTATAGATGAATTGTTCTTTAAATTAATTTAGCAAGTATATTTGTATATATATACCGCGTAAATGTAACTAAGTAACCGTATTCACATAAAGATAAAAGATATGCTAAGATTCTTTAGAGAATACAACTGATCTCATATCTTAAATTTCGACTTAGATTTTATATTTTCAATCTTCGATGTATAAATACAGTCTTTGGTCTCTAAAAAGTTTAGTATTTCTAATCTATTTCAATAAAATGTTCTAATTGATATATTTTCGAATCTAATCATATTCTTGTATTTTGCTGGTTTCAAAAACAAATCAAAATAAAACTAAGAATAGAACTAGAGATGATGAAATCAAATATCGAAAAATCTTCATTCTTGAATTTTTAAATTTCAATAAATATGATTCATATAGTTTTGTTTTAATAATTTATTAATAAAAATTTTCATATCTATTAGATAACTTTGAATATTTAACCAATTGATGCGACATCAACTAAACTCTATCACAAACTCATTGACCAGATTGATTCCATTCACTTAAATTCTCCTACTGTTACAATATTGGAAATAATTTTCGATCATAAACTAAATCTATTTTATTTATTTGAAATTTTATTAAAAAAAAAGCGACAAACAAGAATTAAAAAATATTTTCAGTAGTGAATAAAAAATTGGACTAAATTGTTGATAAACATAGTAGAGACATGTTAGTATAGTAGATTTAACACTAATAGATGATTTATAAAAAAAATATCTAATTAGTTAACAAGTTTAATAGTGAATGTTTGTTTTTTTATAATTAATCATTGATTTTGAATTGAATTTCATCATTTATTTTATTTACTAAAATATATTGTTGTTCATTAATTTAAAAAATATGAACGTTGATTTATTGAATAAACTATTGTTTGAGAAAAAAAACAAAATTAAAAAAAAATCTTTTCATTTTTTTTCTCAATATTTATCTGTTTGTAATTCTTTACTAACAAAAAATTTTTCTATAAATTCAATTTGAGTTTAAATTAATAATTGATAGAAATAAAATAAATTTGAATATTTAATTATAATTTTAAGTATCTCTGATGAACTTTATAGAAAATTATGATTATTATGTTCTTAATAAAATATAATTAATATATCGTATCAATATATTAAAAAACAACGATTTAAATTGAAAATGAAATAATTTATTATTTGTCGAAGATTAATTGAAATATGTTATTAATATTTATTTAATCTATTTTTCTTGTATTTGTTTATTGTTTGATATTTAAACCAATTCAATAAATAAGATTTTTTATTAAATCATCAGAGTAAACAATTATTAAAGTTCTACTAGTATATTTTTTATGATGGTTAAAATAATTATTTAAAATAAAATTTGCCAAATACATTTATAATTAGAAAATGTTCTATAACTATGATATAACATATTGAATGAATATAGAATGAGAGATATCTAAAAATAATTTACTCATTGATTATCTATTTTACAATAAAATAATTTTTTTTATTAGTATTTGAAAAATAAAATCTAGAAAAATTTATTCTCACTCGATTTTATACTTCAACTATAATGATATTCAGTGAACTATCACGATTAAACTATTTGATTTCTTATTGAAATTTAATGATAAATAAAATATTATTATTGTTAAGTTGTATAAAACTCTACGGTCTATTAATTTCGAGATAATTTGTGTGTAAATGTGAATAAGGGTGGATGGAGTTTTAAACAATGTTTACTTCTATATACAAATACGTAGTCACACTCCAAACATCCCACCCTTCCATATAGAATATACGTATATTCTTAAGATATTTGGAAAATATTTTAAAAAGAATTCTCATAATCTGTTTATTTACTTTTGCATAGATTTAAATCATGATTAGAATAAAAGCGTAGAAAATCTTGAAAAATTATCGAATTTGTAGAGATTTTGTTGACTTTTGACATTTAAATCCTGTTACTATTTTGAGATGTACGAATTTTGAACTGATTCTTGGCAAGAGGCAGATAAAGTCTTAATGAAATACTTTCATGCATTCTTTCCGTGTTCCTCAATATTAAATTTTGAATACACTTCAAACGCAAGCCTCTAAAGATCTTAATTACATTCTTGTGCTTACTGCTGAGGATTTTAATCATAGTTGCACTACATTTTAAAGATCGAAAATACTTGTTCTTGAACAGATCCTTTTAGAATCCTGAAAAAATTTCACAATGATCAATCAATATAACAAAAAGAAATAGAAATTAGAAGGGATAGAATCTTGAAAAGATCTTTAGTAAAATCTAACTAAATCTTGATCGAAAACATTTTATAATTCTCGTCGAAATCCTTAATTCTCAGTTCATAAAAAGATCTGAGCATCAACTTAAAGATATTCTGAGTCGATCTTGGTAGAAATCATTACATTTATAGCATTGAAAGTATTCTTCAGAAATAAACAGCGATAAATAACATGAACAGTAAATTGTAAAGGTCCTAAGGTAATTCTTATGATTTATTGTCAACATCGTTATTAAAATTAGTATCGTCTTACAATCTAAAGAAATGTTCATTATTGAATAGTTTCAGACACGATCCTAATTGAAATTTGACAGTATTAGTCAGTTTATAATTATGAATGATCTTGTCATTTTCTTGCCAAAATCCTCTTTGATAATTCTGATAGGATTCTGCATTTTCTATTCAGAAAAAGACCTAAGCAGGATCCTGCTTAACTCTAAAGAATTCTGACAAGAAGAATTGTTACTATCCTTTCAGTATTTCTCGATATGCAATATACTTTTTAGTTTATGTCGAGAAGAACTTTACATTTTTTAATAAAACAGATTATACGAACAATCTTAACGATTTCAAGAATATCCATCATTCAAATTAGAAAATTTATTTTAGGAAAAAAAATATAAAATATATTATCTAATGATCATCATCAGTTATTATAAATAAATAATCCATTTAACTAGAAAATCTTAATTATTTAAAGAGAAATAGAAGTTCATAATATGTTTCATATTCAACTCATATACACAAGTTAATTTCGAACAAAATGAAAAACAACAAGTTGTAGAGTTAGATCACAATATACCAATCATTAAAATAGTTCAAATACTATTTTTTTTCAATTATATTAAATCCATTTTTTCGAAAATATATTGTTGAATACGAAGTAATTTTAGGAATAGAACTCTTGTAAATTATTTAAAATATCCTTCTCTGAGAATTTAATATTGTTAATATGAACAATTGGTATTAGTTTCGGAAAGAAATATATATATTTTTTTCTATCCACCTTAAACATTGTTTACTATTAGTCAAAAGAAGTAACATATTTTTTGTTTTCAATTCTCGCACAATTTGACTTAACAACATTATTACGAAAATGCGCTATGTCTTAAAAAGTAGATACTGATTTATGTATATTAATTCTTTTTAATCTCATATCTCAATTAAATTATCAGTTTCGACAAGTCTTGCATTTGTTCAACTCACATATATTTTCGAATAAAAATAGTGAGTGAAAGTTTTAAATTCAAGGTTCAGCGACTCTCTTTTTCCATTATAAAACTTAGCGAACAGGTTTTAAATAATGAATATGCATATAAAAACTTCATTCGCTATATAAATTAATCCTTCTTATAAGAAAATAAGTGTAAAATTAAAGAAAAATGTAGTGTTAAGAGTAGTGGCGTAACCAAGGTAGGGCTAGGGGTGGGGGGCTCAGCCCTACCACCCGACTTCTCAGCCCTACCACCGGTGTTAGCATCATCAGCTGAATCCTTTCACAAGCCCTACCACCCCATAGACCTCGGTAACCTGAGCCCTACCACCGGATATTTAAGCGTTGCTGAGCCCTACCATCGCCAAAATCCTGGTTACGCCGCTATTAATCATATAATGTTGATTAAAAAGGTGTGTAGTAGAAATGTCGAAAGGAAAAATGTCGAAAGAAAAATGTCGAAAAGGAAAAATGTCGAAAGGGAAGAACGTCGAAAGGAAAAATATGGAAAGGGAAAAATGTCGAAAAATGAATTTTAACACAAAAAGATGTGAAAATGAAAAATGAAAGAAACAACGATATCTCCCATCGATAACAACTCTAAATTTAAACAATGCATGTTTTCATTTCTTCTGCTTCTTACTAGCCCAGATTTTTTTGCCACCATTAGTAAAGATGAATAATAA